AAAAAAATTAAGTTGGAATTTTAATGCCGGCACCCCTAGGATTGTTCTATATCGAAAAAAATATACCCCTATTTTTTATTTTGAAATCAAAAAATATTTAGGGGGTGCTCAAAGCGCTCAAAGTTTTCCATGTATTTTATATGGAGAAAAAACCATTTTTCGTAGAAATGGTATAAAACTCTTAAAAATCAATATTTTTCAATCGGAAAACTGTGGTTCTCTTCAGGAGACTTCCAGTATTAATATCCAATTGTTTATTTAACCATTTTCTAGGGGTTTTCGAGGACCTATAAAATATAGTTACTATGAAAAAATTGTTAAAGAGACAATTGCGTATTATTACTGGGAATCTCCTGAAGATAACAAAAGTTTTCCGATGAAAACTGTTGATTTTCAAGAATTGTACACTATTTCTACGAAAAGTTGTTTTTCCCTCATATAAAATACATGGAAAACTTTGAGAACACTCCTAGGGGGTACCGGCATTAAAAATCGGACCTTATTTTTTTACATACATTTTTGGACCACTTTAAGATATGCGTATCTCAAAAACTACTTGACCGATCTCGACCAAATTTGGTACGCACATTGCGCTTAACCAATTTAAACACCGTCTTGGATATTTTTGAAATCGAACAAAACCTACTCCCCCTAATTCTCTTCTTTTTCTCTAATCATTTACGGATTTAAAAAATGGAACTATTTCCGAAAACCATTCCAATGGACAAATTCGTGTCTGGAAATTGTGATTTGTTTAGGGCCAAATTCACAGTGCTCAGTTAGACCATTGTTAACTTAACCAACAACAAGAGTTTAATTATGAATTTATATTCAGTGTCACATATACCTTGTTTATACTAATGCAAGAACCGTATTAACAAAAAACTGATTTGACTCAACACATATTTCTTTCAAGCATTTTCACTTCGCGTCAAATAAGTGATGTTTTATACCTGTTTTCTAAACGATGTGAGAAATAAAAAAGCGATTTGAAAACAAATTCGAGTCAACACACTTTTGAATTTCTGAGCGTATTGAAAGTTGGTTTATGCTTCCGTTTTGAATCACAGCGAACTGGGTCAAAGCGCTTTATGTGTCGGTATAAACAAAGTAATAGTTAACTATGGAAATTCGTATCGCCTGAAAATATACAAATTCTTAAAATCAATACTTTTCTATTCAAATTTGAAATTCGTTCCACCAAAAAAAAATTTATTTCACAAGAGTCTAACTATGGGGGCATGCTGGTTTAAACTTTTGTTAACTGAGCGTTGTGAATATGAAAATCAATAGTTAAACTCTTATCAGTGGTTAACTACGCACTGTGAATTTAGCCCTCAATGAAGTAAAAATCTAAAACGAATACCTTTAATTGTTTCGTATTACACGTAAGTAATTTGTAAGCAAAAAACGAAACCCGACTTTAATTCTCATATAAAAATTTAAGAGTACAAATGATGATCGGATCTAAACCAAATTAGTATGGGACCATCTCCTTTAAAAAAGGAATTATAGAAATCGGTTAACATGATTCAAAGTCATGCGGTAACATACATAAAACAAAAAGAAAATATTCCGACAAATAGATACTCTCCTCCTTTTTTGAAGCCGGTTTTAAAATGGATTTTTATCCAGTAAAGGCCAGGTTTATCTTAAACGAGTATATTCAGAAAAAGTTATTTTTAGTTGCCTATATTTTAGATATCCGCTTTTTTGAATTTTCATTCAGTACCTTCTTCTCTCGACTTCTAGCACATTTTGTTGTTGTTGCTGCATGGACTACTACATACCTTGTAAACAAACCGATCGAAATCATTATTGTAAGAATTGTGGCTGCTACTTTGGACGCGCAATGAAGCATTCAGCCATCAAACCGAAAACGATCGAAAAATCATGAGATGGTTGCACAACTACACATGTATTCCTTTACAGCCAAGAAGGCCAATGACGAAAAAA